TCGGTGCGGGTGGCAAGAAATAAGGAGAGAACAAAGCAATGCTGTCAGACATGCAATTCTGCTTTTTACAGGAGACTATTAGGTTTTATCTCTGGTTTCATTTTAGGCTTTATTTATCTATGAATTCCTGCTAGTTGGGTTGGACGATTATAGCTGGCCATTCAAATCGGACAAGTCTTTCACTTTTGACGAAACTATTCTGTTTTACTTTCTTCTGGTTTTCTCTTGGCTAAAAAGGATGGAAATTTCCTCATCTCACAGGATGTGGCCCCTATCAGAAGTTCAGTGTATATTCTGTTTTTCAGTAAAACACACCCACAAGCTGGCTGACCCTGACCCCCTGGCCACACGTGTGTTACGTAAAACACATATTTTAACATCCAGAAATTTAGCTGAAGTTTTCTCTTTTCCTGAGTTCTGACTGCATCTTATTCAAGCTTTGCTCAGCCTACTGCAAACTGATTGAAATTTGGTTCTCTAAGCTTACCTTTCAATACACATTCTCAAATCACTAATATCCTACTGCAAGTCACACTAACAACCAACAGATAGTAATTTTCCCTGTAATAACTCTTCTTTTAAGACCCTATGTTGCAATTTTCTACCTCTTTTCTGATTTAAGGATCTATTGAATGTCGTGGTCTTGGCAACATGAACATTCTTGTCAGAGAATATATGAAAATAATATGAAATAAAACATTTTTAAAATTGAGAAAAGTGAAGTCATATTTGTAAATGGCATACTACAACTAGAATATGAAAAAAACATTATCCCAAAACATAAATATCTGGCAGCTATCCATCAGAAAGAAAAATACTTCTAAACCTAGAAGTACCTAATATGTCAGTTTCTCTGTAATAAATTGGTCACAATTCAGTTATGCCCTTAACTAATGCCCTGTAGCAGTGAACAGGACAGACTATGAGGACATCATAACTACCATATAGATGCTTACATTCAGTATTAGCCATTTCTTCTCCCCATCCTCCCTTTTCAGTGGCAGCATAAACCAGGTGCTTACAAAGCAGCCTCAGAGTCCTTCCTGAAATTTACCTTCACCATGTCAAACCTAATCAGATCTGACATGCATAGCATGCATGGGTTCTGAACAATAAGGGAACACTGCTTGCTATATTGAGAACAGAAATTAAAATACAGGGGCATAAAAGAATGGGATAATTACACATATACAGTACCATTTTGGTAATAAGATGACTTGCAGTTCAATTAATTTGGTTACAACAATCAAGGTAAAAGAAACCAAATTCACAGAGACATCATGTGCATACACATTTATACACCCATGTTTATATACAGGTGCATGGAGAGGCAAAAGTAAAAATTTAAGAGAGGTATTTAAAGGAATCTCAATTCAGTAGAACGCATCTCAAGGTAAAAGTATGCAACTGCAAGTATAAGATAGAGTAAATTAATGCAGCAATAACTAGTGATTTTCAGAACAGTAATAGTGTCCACGGTTTTTTAAATATGTGGAAATTAATCTTAAGCAGGCATTTTTAAGACACATGGAAGTTAATACTCAGGAGCCATTAAATCTATTACTACTGTGGACATCTTAAGTCACATGAACTTTTAATTAATTTTAGATTAATTAGACAATTAAAGCTATTTAAAGCTATAAAAGCAAAACCTTAACATTGCCACATGATCCACTGAAGACAAAAGCAGAATATGGCCAATCACATAATTCTGCTGTGTAACTATCATGTGTATTTGCCCCATTCACCCTAGTGTTTGATGGACAGATTAGCCAGAAAGCCTTTCTGAGACCTGATCAGCTCAATGTAAGGATCAGAAGATCCTTTGTGGTTTCATGACAAATATGTGTTAATAATTAGGGGGCTTTGAAGATAATTATCCAGCTATGACAGACCTATATTGATATTCAGGTTTGTCTCTTGCCCTTGGCAATCCTGTCTGCAGTCCTCCTTGGAAGCAGGTTACATCCTGAGGACAGGCAGGCAGAAATCGTACCAAGAGTAATAGGGGAAAAAAAAATAATAAAAAAAATCAACCCAGAAATAGACATGCTTCTTTCCCAAATCATAATATAATGGCCTAGGAAGCATGTTCTTACCCAAATGGTGTAACATTTTGATTGAAATAGTTACAGACAACAAACACACATAAACACAAACAAGATGTCTCTAAATCAAACTTACTTATCCAAATAACTGACACCAAAGAGAAAGTCTTAATCCAAACTCCATTACCTACTGTGCTGTGTCACAAATGCTAGAGAAAAACCCCTAACCATAGTTTTCTTTTCTTCAGTTGAAGAACAAATAGGGTTATGTTTCCTCTGACATTCAGGACAGAATGCTTGTGGGAATTTATATAAGAGCAGGAGAGATAAATGGTGACCTATCTACCCTATCTGTTCCTGAGTGCATCTTTCTAAATTCAACAAAGGACCTCAAGGACCATCCCTTCCAGGTTGTAGTACAGCATAAGGTACAATGACAAAAATAAATATTTTTACTATTAAGCTGGCATTGCTAGATCCCCATTTCCATGCAAGTAAGAATAATATATTTTTTTATTTCTAATAATAGCTGTGAACTTTAATCTGACAGTCCTTCCAGGACTAGTGGATATTTGTGAGTTCTACTTAGTGTTTACCAAAATTTTCAACACCAGAAATTATTGATTGTTAAGTAGAATGAGAGTGACTTGCCACAGATTGCAATAAAAAAAAAAGAATTACTGAAAATATTAAAACTTGATATTTATTTCATAATTGAATTGTCTTAAATATATATATACACCTTAAATCTATCTATAAAATATATCTATACACTATACCAAAATCTTTGTTATGCTCTTATTGCTCTCAATCCATCAATGCAAATGTGTGTTCATAGTTATTTTATATTTCCTTCACTGTAAACAAATGTGTTGTTTCACTGAATATTAATAAAAACTCCAGACTTGCTCTCAGCTGTTGTGCCAGAGCCTGAACTGCAGGCACACAGAAAACACAACTGGACACAATACAAATTGGCAAATGTAATAACCAATAGAAAAGAGCAGAATCTATAAATCAAAATTAATTCCATTTAGTTATATGTTGCAAAAGACTTCTCTACAGTTCAAGAAAGTATCTGGTCTGTGTTACAGTTCTAACAATATTTTGTTTCAGTTTCTACCAAAAAACCCAAACATTTTTGAAACTTGTAACAAAATTCTCCAGCTGGTCTCATGGGTCACAGAATTTCCCATGCTGCTGCTCTTAAATTCACTTATACAGAAGGTATACCTTTGCTATGTACCAGATGTAACTACTTAATTTTCTTAATTTTCTTGTAGTAGCTATCACATCCCTTTATTTTTCTTCGTGTAATGTAGAAAAATAGCCTGTTAGCCTTAAGAGGTGATGCTATTCTTTCAATGTAGAGGAAGGTAAAGAGCCAGAAAGAGCCCAGATCTTTTTTCACCAAGTGGAATATGTTATAGGTTCCACAGTGAAGGATGAAATCAGTATGTTGCACATTAAGAGAGTGCCTCAAAACCATGAAGTACCTGTTAAGTGAACATTTTCACACTTTTCACCCCCCTTTTCTGGAGGTGAATCACCATTTGCTACTGACTGCAAGAGTCCAGGGATCATTTGAAGCCTGACAGAGGCTTCACACAGAGGTGTGAGCACTCACCTATTCTCTTCTACCTAAGAGGTAGAAGCCACCTGTCCTGAGAAAGCCACCTCCTGGAACAAGAGACTGGATAAACTTTATCATCCCAGCAATGCCAAAAGTGTTAAGCCTGAAGTCCTAGGACAGCTTAGGATTTAGTTTAGACATTTGAGTTCCAAATTAGGTAGGATGCTCTAAACAAAAAAAGCATGTTTTTCTAAGGAAAAATATTCATATACATCAAGATTAGTTACATTTGCTCAGCTGTCTCATTAATCTAAGTAGTTCACAGGAAGGTTTTCCAAAAACACCTGTACATTAAATCGCAGTAACAAAACTAGAGGCATCCAGATCAGTGAATTGTAACACATGATCTAAATTAGATTTCAACTTCATGGTCCATGTTTGTTCAAGTGACAAATAAAAATTTAAGACAATGCCACTTTGCTTTACAGCTGGATAGAAAATGACCAAGTTAAAAGTGTGATCTTCTTGACATGATAATTATAAGCAGAAAATTGAAAAGTCTCACTAAAAAATGAAAGCTAATACACTAATAAAAGTTCTAAGAATTAGCCTTCCCATTTTTTTTTTTCTAAGCCAGTCCAGACTTTCTTTCTGTTTTGTTACCTACTTACATCACATTAAGTCAGTAATTTTTTGCAGGAATATATTTAAATCACTTTCTCTGTTGTTATTTTTTCTATAAGCACTGCTAAATATACATTTTCCCCAGTTTTCGGAACTTCTCAAGAGTGAAGTTATTTTGATTTTTCCAGTCACTGCAGTCCATACAGTCATACATAACAAAAACTTCAGGCTGAAAAAATATTTCAAGTCCTACCACATCTTAGTGAAAATCAGAAAACTGATTCATGTGGGTAGCATACAAAAGAATCTAATGTACAATAAAAAATATTTATAGAATATATCAATTTTGTTAAACTATCAATCCAGCTGTCATATACTTTTTCCCCCTTTTTTTTTTCCAATCCTTGTTTTGTATTTCTTATTTTGATTCCTTTGAAGAAGGAGTTCTAAAAATGCCTTTTAATCCAGAATGAGGATTTTAAATAGTATTTACAGTCTTATCTGTTCTTAATAGAAGTGTCTGAACTGTACTAAAAATGGCAGCTTCTCTCCAAAATGTATATTTACAAAAAAATTATCTTTATCCATCCTTAGAATACTTAAGTTAAAATTGTTTCTGGAATATCATCAACTTATACAGAACACAGTAATAAAAAGAATAGCATTAAAAAAGATAAAGATTGAGTTTAAATTTGAAGCCATTATTAAAAGGCTAAAAATAAAATACAGAAGAGTTAGAAAAGGTTCATACTTACCTGAGTCCATAAAGGACTGTCCCATCTGGATGCAAACGGATCATTCTGTTCTTCACAGTGACACCATGTACAAATGACTTCTTGTCATTCAGAAAATAGGTATCAGGAACCCACAGCTGATCAGCTACTCTGTTGTCCAGAGTAAGGTTTAGAGGTATCACATTATACGACAGCCTCTTATCCCTCCAAGCTTGCTGAAAGTACATTGTCAAGGTATAGTCCTGTAAAACCAAAACAAAAATTGTATTGAAACAGACAGTACACATTAAAAAAAACCAACAACAAACAACACCAACAAAAAAGCAAATATGCATTTATTCATTAGAACTATTCTTAAAGCAAACATTTCTGTCTGGAATTCCATAAGTATATTTATTTATTTTAACAGTATTGAACATCTTGTGTATACTTAAGAACAGAAATGAGAATTCAGAAAAGATAGGGTGTTTAGATTTTATGAATGACTTGAGAGATCTCATTACAATAGTTAAAAACAAAATGGAAAACTATATGTAGGCACTTGACAGTCTGCAACTTCTGTAGCACTTTACAAGCTTGGGAGGTTCTAAGAAACAGGAACATTCGTGGATCTGCATTTGATCTCATAGGTCTCCACTGTATTCAATAGAGCTCTGGCTCAGACCTTCTTTCTCTCAAGTCACAGCTACCACCCAAACAGTTCTCTCAATTAAAATCTCTTCAAAGTCTGTTAACTTTCCCCTGGGCACTGAAATCAGTAGGAAGTCCCTGAGGTTTCTATGCTACATAGTTTCAGTCTTCTACTTAATTTTACAGATGAACTAACTCTGGTTACTTAAACAGAACAATTCAGAGAGCACAATTAAGCATCTGGGTAAATATCTGCAGTAACATGAGTCTTGCTTTATCTTGATGTAGGCCACTAATGTACAGTACTTCAGAGATGGTCTGATCTTCTGGTGTTCTAGAGAACAACATAATTACAAAAATATAATCTTTGTAAGAAGTGTTATACAGAACAGAATAATCATTATGTTAGCCTATAATAAAAAAAGATCCATAAATAATCCATAAAGGAGCTGCATATCCAATCACAGATCACTGGGTCAAGGGCTGTAAAACAATACTGAAAGAGTATCAAAAGGAGGAGTATTCTAAAGTAAATATTTTGTTTTGCTACAGAAATCCTAATCAGGCCTCAGCCTATTTTGATTTAGAATATATGTAGCATGGACTTAAATTAAACAGTGAGAAATAGTAGCTTGCAAAAGATTGTTTCCAAGACAAAGCCAACAAAAGCTGCTGTGATAATCAGCAGCCCCAGGATTCAGTCACATCAGTATGAAAGCCTGTATCCATACATCAGTCTGAGGCACCTGAAAACAAGAAATCCACCCAACTTTGAAAAAATAATCAGCCATGGCAACTACATCTTACAAACTAATTTCTAACACTGCATAATGGAGATAAACATGCAAGATATGAACATTTTATAGCATAAATGGATTATTGTAATAACATTTATTGAAATATGCATTGCATAAATTGCAATATAAATTGTCATTAGCCACTTTATATTTTAAAGGAAAGACCACAATTAAAACTATTTTTACTACAGTTGGCACAGAAATATTATTTTTCCTGCTCAAATACTTCAAAGGCACCTGCCTAAACTGCATTTTATGAGCATTTTAATTTAAAAAAAAAATAAATACATTCACACATGGACACTATATGGAACGTTTCACAAGCCACAAAAGTAAAATGTTCTTAGTTTGCAGTTTCACCAACTAAATTTTCAAAAAAAAAATCTACAAAAATGTCCCTCCAGAAATTAATACCAATGAAATTTACCAATTTGAAATTGTTTTTACAGGACAGTCTAAGACTTGATAAACACCACATTTCACAAAAGGTAAGTGGAAAAGTTACCTTCCCTGGTGAATGGTAAAGCAAATACTATATTTTTTTCACTGCTATGCAGAGAGATGCCATTCATCCTACTTCACTTCAAGCCCTGCAGATTTATCTCCCTCCACTGATTTTAGAGCTCCTACGGCAATCAGCTCTAATCTATGTACATTGGTGAAGAACCTCCAGAAGTGAATTGAAGACAGTGTCAATAGCAAATTGAACAGAAAATAAAGAAAACAAATTTAACATATATTACCCATGTTTAAGTATCCAGAGAACTGCTTTACTTTTATTTACTAATGAAATTGTTTATGCATAAATTACGTTGCTGTAATTATTCTTTTTAAAATGTACATGGTCCACACTTAAAAACGTGCATTAAGGAGGGCCTCTGACAACTATGGGTATTCCAGCAGAGTTCTCTAGGCAATGACACAGCTCCTGGAAACAAATTGACTCTGTCTCTTCTGCAGAACAGTGTGTTCTCAAATGAATCAGTATAAAGTGTTTTTCTACAGAGATGTCTATTTCCATTGTGGAAATACTCTTGTTTTTTGTTGTTGTTGTTTGTTTTTTTTTTAAAACACCTGTTTTCCCAGAAGTGCCCACATACATGAGCTTCAAAATTATTCTTCAGTTTTCATTGAAACAGGGAGAAATTCATGTTCCTGTTGTGAACATTTATGGCATTTCTTTCATGTCAACACAAAACTAGAATGATAGTGCTGCCCCTTCAGTCTTCCTTCTATTTGTGATGCTTAAAAACTAATCACCTCCCCTTGCTCTGCCTTCAGCCCTGTGCTGCAGTTGCTGGTGGAGGCACATCCACCCAGCCTGCCCACACAGTAGTGCCCAGCTTGGGGAGCATGTGACAAACATCAACAAAACTGCAGGGTTACAAGCAGGTAAACATCAAATAACTGTTTCCAACCATTTTACTATCAAATATATTTACCTGCTAACTATTCCAACCTGATGGATGTCAATGATCTCAAATCTCTTCTCCTTCCACCCCTCCAGGATCAGGATGAGAGTCTGCTTTCAACAACATTCCACCTACATCTGAAGCATTTTATTGTTATGCTTCATCATTGTTCTGCAGTATGATTCATAACGCTGTACTAGAAAACTTCCAATAATATATTTGCATTTAAAAAATTATTATTGTTCATTATGCTAATATATCACAACATAAAGTAGATGAGCTGTAGCAATTCCTTCCCTATTATCCTTGGAATGCTGTATTTTATTCCTATTCTAAGGAATAATCTACATGTATTAATATACAGCGTATATATACAGAACATGCTTCTCTCTACACCTCAGTAAAGAGGGAAAAGAAGAGGAAGAATAAAACTAAACAAGCATGGCCCAGTGCATAAAAATGAATTACATAAAACTGTAAATTTGGAACAGTGGTATAGCTGAAAGAAAAGCCAAGTCTCCAGGCTGGAGTTCAGAATCAAACACACTATGTTCCAGAAACAGAGCTGTTGTTCCAACTGAAAATTATTTGTCATCTGTTGGCCTTAGTTTTCTGATGTGACTGGAGTCTCTGATGTTAAAACAGAACATCTGAAATATTATTTTTTATAAAACCCTCACAACCTTTTGAATTTAGGTGGGTTGTGTGGTTATTTAAAAAAATTGTTATTAAAAATAAATGTGCTTCAAGGTATATAATTCAAAGTATGAGTGATTAGTTAGAAAAAAAGGAAAACCTGTCACATAAGCTGCAATTCATTTGTTAGAAAGAAAGGAGGCATCAGTTCTCAAAACCCCAAATGAAACAGTAACTCAAAAAGATGATATGCAGGTTCAAAATATCCCACAGGTATCCCAAAATTCTTTATGCTTTAAGATTAAGAATATGGTTGTCTAGCAGAAACACTGCAAGAAAAAAGTCTGTTAAACTCACATTAAATAAGGGAATTCCCCTATATTCTAAGGATAACCATCAAAACAAACATGCAAATAACTTGTCTCTATAGGAAGACAGGCACACAAAAGAAGCAGAGGAATAGAATTTTCTAGTAAAGGATGATTTTAATTTGTTAAGGTCTTAGCATCCTATTCAATTCACAGGATGGGATTGTTAGAAACAGTGTAAGTATGAAGATCAAAAAGGACTGAAATAATTTGAAACCCATAGCACAAAGCAGTAATTACAAATGAGTTGAAAGAAAGATGAAAACAAACCTCATTATGACTATGTCCTTCTATACCTGCACAGACAAGCTCCATAGGTTCAGACCATTTACAATCCAGGCATACAGAGATAAGTGGTACAAATATAAATAAGTTCAGTTACCCTAAGCACACAAAGCTTGAAATACTATATGAAAATCTGTTAGCATAGAAAAAGTCACAAGAAAAACCTATAATATAAATATATATTTATAAATTAAAAAATATTAATTGTATTGTCTTAATTACTGTTCCATAGCTCACATACATTTATATTTAATTTTTTTTATCTATCCAGATACAGAAATTTAGGAAGGGAAAAATGGGTGGTTACTTCTGTCCTCATCTAAGAAAAGTTTCTCCTCTTTTCTTTGCCAGTTAGAGTTCAACTTCCCAGTTTTCTTCTTCTTTGTCACACAATGAACAGAAGACCAGTAAATATGAGACAAAATGTATCTTAATGCAAATTTTCCCATATGAATAAGAAAGTAATGAACAGGTATTTTAGTATTAGCATATTTAAGGGTAACTTTTATTCTGAATGTTATCTTCATGTGGCAGTTGTTTGCAAACACTTTTAGCTATTGGAAAGTTACATATGCTGGGAGATTTAAATTTAGATAAATATCACGATTACAGACAGGCCAGTTTTCACTTAATGACCATCAACTTTGAAGATCCAAGGAAAGACACTGAACAGATAAGTTTCAAATCTGAAAACTGACATTATTATAGATATTCCCTTATTTCATTATTATTCACAAATAGAAGGGTTTTTTTTAAGCCAAAAAAGAAATGTCAGCTTGGACCTATTATTAGCTTGCAAAGATGAAAAGACAGGCCTTAGCTAAACCCACCCATGTGCCAATAACTGTGGAATGTTTTTTTTGCTGGTCCTCTTTTTATATCGGAAAAAGGATCAAGGCAAAAAAAGGAAATACATTTCATGAATGTTCACAACAATATTGGGAATCTTCTGCAAAAGACTATGCCAAATATAACTGTGTTCAATGCATAAGGATAAGGTCCAATGTGAGAAAAACAACATTTCAAATATAGCTCTTCTATGTTACACAGAACAGGACTGATTCATCGTGCAGCTTAAAAATGTATACCAACACTTGTATTAACAGGGATATAA